GTCTTGCTTTTGTCTAGTAAAAGTGGAACCAAATTGCGGACTTAAAGTACACAAAACCAGTCACATTCGTTAGACTGCAGAAGAACCAATTCAAACCGCCTTGCCATTTTAGGCGGTGAAAAACAAGCTTTTTCTGGCGCCATATCAACACGACACGCCGCCCGCCATTTCAGCGTCACTAACCTTTCACCGTTTACCGTATAGAATATTGATACGTGACCGCATTTAAACACTTTAACCGCAAGCTTTATGTGCTCTTGACAATAAAAACAACGCAATTCCTCAAATGTATGTTCGATCACCGATGGTATTGATAAGTATCCAAAATGTAATGTAATGTAAATCCATTTAATTATTACTGAGCTCACGAACATTTTTGCGAGTAGCCGTCACGTGGCTTTCGTTAGTGCTCGAATATGCATCACTGTGTCATTTAATTGTCAGATATGATTGACAGCTGATTTTAAAAGATTAGCCTAAAAGATTAAGTAAAACGTGAATCATTATGTTCTGCTTTAAAAAAACGTTGTCCAGCATGTAAGGTTATAACTTGCAAGTTCCAATTTTTACATTTTCATTATTTCACTATATAAGTTTATTGAAATATTCAAAATAGGTTTTTATGGATTTAAACACTAACACAATGTATTATAACTGATATGGATATTTTAAACTGTGCGATAAAAATCGCGAGTGCTCCTTCTTGGCATCAGAGTAGTCGGTAATGGTTACTTATTAAACAGCTGGACACACATTAAATCAGTTCAAAGTTAGCCTATTTTAAATCTGTATCTTGACGTGAAAATACTGTCGTCGCTGAAAAACAACACGCTATTTCGTACGAGAGAAATCTTAGCTAGCTAGCTAATGCAGTATAGGACCTCCTACTTTGGTACAGGCCAATCCTTGGAACAGGGTTGCCAGGTTTTCACAAGAAAACCTGCCCAATCCCTACTCAAAACTAGTCCAATCGCGTTTCGATGGGGTCCCCAGTTAAAATTCGCCTTCCAGGGGGTAAAATACACGTTTTTTGGCGGGGTTCCCCTGCTAAACTTCGCATCCCAGGGGATAAACGTTAGTTTGACGTTTGACATTCATTAGACATTCGGGTTTTTTGCCAATTAAACTCTTTGCAGCTTTTATGTTTTGAGCCCAAACTAACTCAGATAGACATAAATATATGCCCGTTATGTCGCACAAGGCTTAATTTCTAGGAATTGAAAAAAAAATTAACCTTTTAAATTAATTAAACAATTGAACTGCGTGACATTATAATATAAAACCAATACTAAAATGTTCGGGAAAACATACCTGTTATCGCACAAAGCTCCGTTTTTGGAATTACAATTTTATGTTTTTTATAATAATTTTACAACTTTTAATGTATGCAATAATATAAATCCATTAAACGACAACACCATTTGATCTAAAGGTATCAAACCAACTGTAAAATATTCAGAATATTATTCCCTATAATGCACAAGTCTTGGTTTTCCAGATTATGCCTTTACTGTTTTTATATACAGTACTGAATCCATATTTGTCATGTTTTATATACTGTACCCACTTAAATTAATTAAACTCTGCCACAGTTTGAGATAAATGTATCAAACCAACTGTAAAATATTCAGAATATTATTCCCTATAATGCACAAGTCTTGGTTTTCCAGATTATGCCTTTACTGTTTTTATATACAGTACTGAATCCATATATTTCATATGTTTTATATACTGTACCCACTTAAATTAATTAAACTATGACACAGTTTGAGATAAAGCTATCAAACAAACTGTAAAATATTCAGAATATTGTTCCCTATAATGCACAAGTCTTGGTTTTCCAGATTATGCCTTTACTGTTTTTATATACAGTACTGAATCCATATTTGTCATGTTTTATATACTGTACCCACTTAAATTAATTAAACTCTGACACCTTTTGAGATAAATGTATCAAACCAACTGTAAAATATTCACAATATTATTCCCTATAATGCACAAGGCTTAAACAGTAAAGGCATAATCTGGAAAACCAAGACTTGTGCATTATAGGGAATAATATTTTGAATATTTTACAGTTGTTTTGATACCTTTATCTCAAACTGTGTCAGAGTTTAATTAATTTAAGTGGGTACAGTATATAAAACCTATGAAAAAAATATGGTTTCAGTACTATATATAAAATCAATAAAGGCATAATCTGAAAAACCAAGCCTTGTGCATTATAGGGAATAATATTCTGAATATTTTACAGTTGGTTTGATACATTTATCTCAAACGGTGTCAGAGTTTAATTAATTCAAGTGTGTACAGTATATAAAACATGACAAATATAGATTCAGTACTGTATATAAAAACAGGAAAGGCATAATTTGGAATACCAAGCCTTGTGCATTATAGGGAATAATATTCAAAATATTTTACAGTTGGTTTGATACCTTTATCTCAAACGGTGTCAGAGTTTAATTAATTCAAGTGTGTACAGTATATAAAACATGACAAATATAGATTCAGTACTGTATATAAAAACAGTAAAGGCATAATCTG